AGAGAGAGAGAGAGAGAGAGAGAGAGAGAGAGAGAGAGAGAGAGAGAGAGAGAGAGAGAGAGAGAGAGAGAGAGAGAGAGAGAGAGAGAGAGATAAAGAGAGAGAGAGAGATAAAGAGAGAGAGAGAGAGAGAGAGAGAGAGAGAGAGAGAGAGAGAGAGAGAGAGAGAGAGAGAGAGAGAGAGAGAGAGAGAGAGAGAGAGAGAGATAAAGAGAGAGAGAGATAAAGAGAGAGACAGAGAGAGAGAGAGAGAGAGAGAGAGAGAGAGAGAGAGAGAGAGAGAGAGAGAGAGAGAGAGAGATAAAGAGAGAGAGAGATAAAGAGAGAGACAGAGAGAGAGAGAGAGAGAGAGAGAGAGAGAGAGAGAGAGAGAGAGAGAGAGAGAGAGAGAGAGAGAGAGAGAGAGAGAGAGAGGGAGAGAGGGAGAGAGGGAGAGAGGGAGGGAGGGAGGGAGGGAGGGAGGGAGGGAGAGAGACGTAAGAGGAGAGCTAGAGCGAGAGAGAGAGAGAGAGATAAAGAGAGAGAGATAGGAGGAGAGAGGGGGAGAGAGGGGGAGAGAGGGAGAGGGGGAGAGAGAGGAGAGAGAGAGAGAGAGAGAGAGAGAGAGAGAGAGAGAGAGGAGAGAGAGAGAGAGAGAGAGAGAGAGAGAGAGAGAGAGAGAGAGAGAGCGAGAGAGTGAGAGAGTGAGAGAGAGAGAGAGAGAGAGAGAGAGAGAGAGAGAGAGAGAGAGAGAGAGAGAGAGAGAGAGAGAGAGAGAGAGAGAGAGAGAGAGAGAGAGAGACGTAAGAGGAGAGAGAGAGAGAGAGAGAGAGAGAGAGAGAGAGACGTAAGAGGAGAGCCTGAACAAGAGCTCAGGAGGCGAGCAACGCAGACTGGGGGCAGACGGTACCTGTGTAGGTCTGACGCCTCTTGATGGGTCCCGGAGGCCGGTCCTTGCGCCGCACGAGGGGGGACGGGCGCCGCTCGTTGCTCACGCGCTGTTTGTGTCGCGCCTTCAAGCAGATGTTGGGCTCGGACGCTACAACAGGTCAGTGGGGGGTTAGTCACACAACACACACGCAAATGTCTACCTACAACAATACGACGCCTCGTCCTTGCAGTCACATACACGCAAACGCACGCAAGCACCACCACAAGGATATGGGTGGGAGGGGAGGGGGGTGCCCCGCAGCCGCTCATCGCAGGCCCGTGACAACCCCCTCCCCCCTATTCCCCGGGTTGCGGCTGTGACACAGGGCGAGGCACGGGCTTAAATATAATGATTCAAGGGCGTTTACAAATCTGGCGGCCAGCTGTGCTCGACGGCCTCTACGAGTACTTGTTACTGTGGGTTCAGCATTCACGTTAGGCAGTTAATCGCGACTCTAAATCACTGATAATGGGCTTCCTCGTCGGGCTGTGGTAACAACACTACTGATAACGATGCCACTCACACGAAATGTTAGCTAAAAAAAAGGGGGGGGAAAGAAAGAGAGGAAAGAAAAGAAGAAACAAAAATGTGGCAATGGGGTGGGTAAACAGGTAGACTGAGATGTGGGGGATGAGTGGAAGGAAAATTCCTGTTGTTTTACTGTTGCTGTTGTTCCTTTCGTGCTATCAGGATGTCCTATAGGCTGCCGTTGTACCCTAATTACCATAGCTTCAAAAGAACCGGCAGCGTGTGAACAATCGTGCGCCTCCACTGCCATTATACTAACCCAAGCAAAGACTTGTTCTAATATAATCTGTACATCCGGACAGTGATTAATACCCTTACACACATACGTAGAGTAAGTAATACTTCTTCCTCTCCTCATTCCTCCTTCTACCCCTTCTCCTTCTCCTTGCCCTTGCCCTTCCCCCCCCCCCTTCCGTTTCCACACGCGAGAAGGCGCGAGACCCCCCCCCCCTCCTCTCCCTCCAAATCTTTATTCTTGCCTCCACGTACTTCCCCGCGCCCGTCACACCTCTGACCTCAGCGAGGGAAATCCACGTGCATTATAGGCCATAATGCAACCCTTCTCGACTCTCCCTCACTCTCTCTTTTTTCCCTTTATCTTTTAATCTCTCTTATTTGCTCCTTTTCTGTCGTTCTCCCTTTCTCGTTCGCTCTCTATATCATGTTTTTTTTTCATCTCTCTCTGTCTGTCTCATTCTGTCTCTCTTTCTTTCTCATTCTGTCTCTCTTTCTTTCTTTCTCTGTCTGTCTGTCTGTCTATCTCTCTCTTCCCTTTCTCTTTCCGTCTCTCCTCCTCTCCTTCCAAACGGGTGTAGTAAACTTGAAAGCGGGGCAGGGGTAGGGGGAAGAGGAGGGGGGGATATCACAGCGGTGCATGCAGAAACCTTCGGCTCTGTCCCCCTGACCACCTGGGGCCTGTGGGAGGGGGAGGAGAGGGAGGAGGAGAGGGGTACAAGGGAGCAGGGGGGCATGGGGGTCTTGGCACCTCGTCTTAAACTGCCCTCTTTATTTGCTTTTTATGTTCGTCTTTGTTTTTACTCGTTCTATCTTGGCAACCTTCTTGCCCATTGTGAGGATGACGTACACGTGCGCGCGCTCGCACGCTCTCTCGTACACATACACGCACATACATACATACATACATACATACACACACAGGAGGAGGAGGAGGAGGAGGAGGAGGGGGGGAGGAGGAGGAGGAGGAGGAGGAAGAGGAGGGGGGGAGGGGAGGAGGAGGAGGAGGAGGAGGAGGAGGAGGAGGAGGAGGAGGAGGAGGAGAGGAGGGGAGGAGGAGAGAGGAGGAGAGAGAGAGAGAGGAGAGAGAGAGAGAGAGAGAGAGAGAGAGAGAGAGAGAGAGAGAGAGAGAGAGAGAGAGAGAGAGAGAGAGAGAGAGAGGAAGTAAGAATGAAGCAAAGGATAAGCAAAAAGAAAAGGAAGGAGAGGTGGAGGAAGAAAAGGAAGGTTGGGAGGAGGAGGAGGAAGGCGAGATGGCAAACGAGGTGTCGACACTCCTCCAAGCTCTTGCAGGTAAGAACAATAAGAACAAACACGCGGAATATTGCAAGGAGGCAACGCTTGCAATAGGGTGAGGGTCGGGGGAGGCGAAGGAGGGCTGGGGTAGAGGGGACGTGGAGGAAATAGAGGATGAGAAGGAGGAGGAGAAATGAACAAGGGGAGGGGAGAATAAGTTGATGGGGAAGCGGAGAGGAGGAGAAGGGGAGGGGGAAGATGTAGGAGGGGAAGGGGAAGGGGAAGACGTGGGGAGTGAGAGTGTAGGAGTGGGAGAGCGAGAGGGGGAACGGGATTGCGGGAGAGGGTTACAGGTTAGAAAGCATCGCATTACCCGCTGCGTCCAACGTGTAACACAAACCCAACCCGGCCCTCTCGGTGACGTTGTAACACTCTTCCGCATCATGCCTCTCTCTCTCTCTCTCTCTCTCTCTCTCTCTCTCTCTCTCTCTCTCTCTCTCTCTCTCTCTCTCTCCCTCTCTCTTTCAAATGACCAAGCATGAAATACCTACATACTACTCTAATAAAATCTGCACTATCTAGATCCGTCATCGCCTCCTCCATCTCTACTTTCGTTATCTTCATCATACCCAACAAACCAAGACACACGATATTTTTTTTTATCACTGACACAAAAAAAGAAGAAAAAAAATCCCGTTAAAAAAACAGCGTTGCCACAGTCTTCTTATTTATTTATTTACCAATTTATCGCCATTATTTGCGTGCGCGCGTGCGTGTTTGTGCTGGCAACGCGTAGAGGAGCGAGTTTGTTTTGCTATACTATTTGCGTCCTCGGATAGATTGCCCCTGTCCGCTCCGGCGTCAGCCCTGGGGCCTCCTCCGCACCACATCGACACCACAGACACTACTACCACTTCCCTGCCTACGTGAAGTGGGAGGCGGGGGCGGAGGTACGGAGTCCTCTACCTCGGGGGGAGGGTGAAAGAAGGGGGTTCTTTACTATAGCCGCGGGATTGAGGAGGGGTGAGGTTAGTTATTGAGTGGTATTGCAACGTTGCGTAAAGACACTACATAATCATTGGATTATCTAAGTACGATCCTTCTCCACTGGAACTATCTTGAAATGGCAAAAAACATGTGTCATTCTATGTTTTTATTTGTTAACAGGGTTTTATTATATGCTTTTCGGCAAGGTTTGCCTCCCTCTCGCCTGCCCCGAGAGAGGCGTTGAACACCCGGGACAGACCGCCGTGAGGCCACGCCCACATCTTGGCACTCTGGTCACGGGGGAGGGGGGGTAAAAAGTGGCCACTTACCCCACCTCGGCCAACGCATGCACGAGTACACACACGCGGGCGAGCACAAACGTACGTATGCACGTACGCTATGCATTCTTACGCTCATATACCGACACTCTCTAAACAGACGCATATACTACACCCTAAATATAAATAAGCCTCTTTCTCTTTTTCTTTCTTTCTTTCTCTCTTTCTCTCCCTCATTCTCTGTCTCTCCCTGTCTCCGTCTGTCTGTCTGTCTGTCTGTCTGTCTGTCTGTCTGTCTGTCTGTCTGTCTGTCTCTCTCTCTCTCACTCACTCCCTCACTCACTCCCTCACTCACTCTCACACACACATACACACACACACACACACACACACACACACACACACACACACACACACACACACACACACACACACACACACACACACACACACACATACACACACAAAACCCGCACAAAGTCCGACTGGTAGCCTAAAATAGCCCCGTAATCCCCACCGAGGTGGAGCTTCCCTGCAAAGTAATTTGCTAAGGGTACGAGTCATGCCCCGCTCCCCCTCCCTATCCCCCTCCGCCATCTTCCCTTTACCCCTCCCCCCCTCCAAAACTTCTTTATGCATTCAGACGGTAAATAGTAAAGAATTAGGGAGGCAGTTCAAAGAAAGACCTGACAGGCATTTCTCGCTAATCGCATCCAACCGCTCTCGTCTCATTAGCTTCATATTTCTATCTCTTATCGGCTCCTCTTTTATGATGTTCACCCTTATCACTCTTGGTGTTTTATCATTACTATTCATTCATTACTTCTTTCATTGTTATTCTCAGTTACTACAGTTGCTACTATTACAACTACAACTACTACTACTACTACTACTAATCTCTTCTTCACTTCACTATCCCTCATTCGCACTTAACCTTGTCCTTGCTATTACTCCCCCCCCCCACCCACACTCCCTCTTCACCTCCCTCCCTCACTCCCTCTCCCTCCCCCTCCCCCTCCCCCCTCCCCCTCCCTCCCTAAACCTCGGCGAAACAGCAACTCTTGTTCTGCTTACGTGGATCGCCGAGAATCCCTGCAACAGCTCGGCAAACAAAACAGCAATCCTTAGCAACCTCTCTTTCTCTCTCTCTCTCTCTCTTTCTCTTTCTCTCTCTCTCGTTTTTTGTCTGTCTCTCTCTCTCTCTGTCTCTCTGTCTCTCTGTCTCTGTCTCTCTCTCTCTCTCTCTCTCTCTCTCTCTCTCTCTCTCTCTCTTCCTCCCCCCCAGCGTCATCCACAGCCAGGTCATCCCACACATCACCTGCAGCTCTAAAATTACTTGCTCTGTCACCGCCTCCCTCTCGTAACGTGTGTAGGGGGGCGTTGCGGGGTGAGGAGGAAGAGGAGGAAGAAAGAAGTGAATGAATAAGGAAAGAAGGAAGAGGAGGGAGCAGGAGGAATGGATGGAGAAAGAGGAAGAAACAGGAGTGGACGGACGGAAGAGGAAGAAAGGGAAGTGGAAAGGTAGGAGGATGAGGAAGAAGGGGGGCGGGGGAGGAGGAGGAGGAGGAGGAGGAGGAGGAGGAGGAGGAGAAGGAAGAGTAGAAGTTGGAGTAGGCGTAGGAGAAGGAGTAAGATGCTAATGATGATGAGGGGCAGGGGGCAAGGGGAAGAGGAACAGAAAGCGTAGGGTGGAAGGAAGAGGAGGGAGAGAGGCGTAAGGGTTGTGAGTACGCGCATCTAAAAACAAACGTAAATACACACGTACGCACATATACCTACTTACGTAAAGACACTTTACAGCCGTTTCAATTTTAGATTAGCAACGGAAGAAAAATAATTGCCTAGCGCTCGGTGCGACAAAGAGTATTTTTATTTTTGCTCTGATTAAACGAATGATTCAACAGCGGTTCGTCTGATCTTAATCATGACTACTATGAGACATAAAATAAGCCCTTGATGTAACCAACCAGTATCGCAGTCTACGGGACACACACGCCCTGTTTAACTAACATCCGAACGCCCAGATATCACCAGAAAATAGTCATTAATCAAGCTTGACAATCCATAAGATAAAATGAAACCTAAAGAAAAAAAATATATATTATATTCAAACAGTTTGCCAACCTAACCCCCAAGCTATACCTGTTGAGCAATTTGAGAACAGGTGTGACTGGCCCTTTTGCAGTACGGTAAACAGCAACGAAATACACCGTGAACGGAAGACAGAAAAATCCGTCCGTCGGAAAATGGGAGACGCGCAAAACGGAAGGGAGGGAGGGAGGGAGGGAGGGAAGAAAGGAGGGAGCGAGGGGAAAGGGTAAGGAGGGAGTCGAGGGGCGGGGGAGACGTGGAGGGGACGGAAAGGAGGCAGAAAGGAAGCGAGAAAGGAGGAGGAGGAAGCTCAGTCGGGAGAAAGAGCAGGTAGTCGTCTTCTCTCGCACCATTTCTGGAGAGAAACCCTTTTACCTCTGCACCCCTCCCTCTCTCCTCAGCACACCTTCCTCTTACCTCTCCCTCTCCCTCTCCCTCTTCCCTCTCTTCTTCCCCCTTTCCCTCTCTCTACCACGCCTTCCCTTTCCTTCTCCCACACTCCCCACCCTTCCTCTTCACCACGCCTTCCCCTTCCCTCTCCCCCTTTCCCTCTCCTTATCACGCATTTCCCCCTATCCTTCTCCTCTCCTCCCCCTCCCCCCGCTCTTCGGAAACCCTAAAGAAGCCTCCCTCGAGCGCATGAAGCGAGTCCCGCAGATCTGAGCGAAGCCTCGAAACTCTGCCTGGAAGTCTTTTTGCTCCCCGGACGAGATCACGACTCATCAGGTGTGACGAGTGTCCGAAACATCTATTTTGCATACATCACATCTGGGTGAGAATTATGCATGAGGGGGGGGGGGGTCGCAGTGATGGTTCTTCTGGGCCTGAACCTGACAGCAAGTCGTCAATCATTATCATAATCAAAGCGCAGTAGTGCACACGCGCATAAACAATCATTCTCTCTCTCTCTCTCTCTCTCTCTCTCTCTCTCTCTCTCTCTCTCTCTCTCTCTCTCTCTCTCTCTCTCTCTCTCTCTCTCTCTCTCTCCATCAGATAACTTCCTAACCAGTATCAAACAGGAACTAATGTCAAAAATCAGCTATGCGCTTTGTGGAAAGTGAATATATAAAAGCAGATATTAACTAGGTTATCACACATCAAAATTAGAGTACTGAGTAGATAATCAACAGGTTAAAACACACCAAAATATAAGAAATATATTAATAGATATTAATCTGGTTATAATACATCCAAAAATCTTAGTAATACCAATTCACACTAATAAAACACAGTTCT